ACCGAGTCTTGCTACAGCACCATGGTCTTCATCTAGAGTAAATCGCGTACGTATGAAATGATGTTTCAATGGATTATGTCTATGTCTTACATGTTGCTTGTTCAGCTCCGGATGTTTCGAAGCTGCTGAAAGCCAAGATAGTTGAGCAGGCCATCAAAAAATAACATAAGCGTCGTACCCTCAGAGTCAAGGGCTTGTGTGTCAAATGTCACTGCCAGTTGCTCTGAGATGCTCTGAGGTTACGTACACGAGTCGATAAGACACATTTCTCACATTTCCCTTAAGTAGCACCCTGCTCGCCCAAATGGCAAAGCTTCTTTTGACGCAGCGTTTCTGGCCGCGTCTCTCCACACTGATGGCCTTGTATTCTGGCCGCCTGCAAGCTTCAAGCAGGTGCAAGAGGAGGGGCTGATGGGTCCAAACTCCAGGACGGAAATGGATAGCTAGTTCCAATTGGCTGTGGGCGCAGGTGAAGAGCATCAGAAAAATGGATTGTGAGGGATGTTAACCGATCCCATCGTTCACTGGGATCGTCGCCACCATGGTCAAACGCCCTGAAGGCCCTCACATCACGGCGTCATCCTTCCACCTACCTAGCAAAATGGTCAGATCTAGGACCGAAGTGGACCTGCAAGGTGTGGGATGTTGGATTTGGGGATCGAGTTGGATGTTAGATTAATTGACCTGAAACGGTTACTTCGTTCCTCACTGACTCCTGCCTCAACTGTTGGTTTTTAGTTGGTTCAACATCCGCCGATGCATCATATTCATGCGCAAATAATCATGTTCCTGCCACATGTGCCACCTTCCTTTCCTATCCTTTCCTGTCACTCAGATCAAATGTAATGCCCATTCAAACTGTTTCAGGTTCCTTCCATTTCCCTGTCAAAACGAAATTTTATCTGCATAAGAGTCAGTGCTGCCAAACCGTTTGTTTGTTTCAGACAAGTTTGTCCTATACCTGAAGAGGCGTGGCAAAGTGCTTCTGCTTCCAAAAGAAAAGACTCCCATGGACGGCACCTTTGTTTTACCGCAAGTGCCCCCGCTGGTCAAAACAAGAGCAGGGCAAAATCGGACTTCTCCAACTTTGATTCATGCTGGCAAAATCTGGCAAAGCTATTTGTAAGTCCAACAGCCATGATGTCGCTCCATCAGTTTTGCCCGACTTCGTCCCAAAAATTCAAAGGTCGTCCATGCAAAGGTTGTCCCTCTTGCTGGGGGCTGAAGCAAGGCCGGTCCTGAAAGCCCAAATCACTTGATCAGACTTTGTCGGCTCAGTCTGTCAGACTTTCAAAGAGCAGAAAGGTGTCGTGACTTTTCATGCACATCATCTTTGGACAACATGTTCTTCTTGTAGCGCGATGGCATGGGGACTGTGCAAATATATGTTCTTGGATACGTGATGTATAAGTTCGGATCACCAAGCCGTGCCGCCCGGTAGACTCATAAGAAACTTCGGCACCAATGGAAATTACAACTTCAAACTTCCAGAGCACCATTCGTTGAGTGCACGCGTGCGCGTGCCCACACACACACACACACACCAGCCAGGAGGTTTTGAACCTCATTGTGGCAAGAATATCATTTCGCCAGGGAGACCAGCTGAATAGGCTAGACGACAATCTGTCAAGCCCCCTGACTTCAATTTAAAGGCAACTCTCAATTCTGCAGCATGTTGAACATGTTGCAAAAGTTAACCTGAAATTCGGAGCAAAATCACATATGCTGCTGAACATCAGTCCGGTTGGTTCCTTTGCTCTTTGGTGATTGAGGCCTACAGAATCGAGCCACCGCAACAAATGATCTTGAACCTGGGATAAAGTCCCTGATAAGCCGGAAGCAATGAACTCTAGCTCGAGAAATGTTAAGCACGACTGATCCAAGGAATTGGATGCACGGACGTGCACGGGGACTTGAGAGAAGCGGCAAGGTGTCCAGATGCAGTGTCAAATTGAGCAACCAAAAACATACATCAATGGCAACCTTTCTGCACTCATTGATCCAACTGAATTCCGGCAATCAAAAAAACAACACCCACCCCTCGATTTCGAGGAACCAACCCAAAACAAAGAACGATGATGAACGATGTGTGTTCTGACAACGGGACAGTTCAATGTTTTGAGACCGTGTGGTTCTAAGGAGGTTGATGTTGATCTTTGAACGTGAGCGTTCCTTTTTGCAATCCCACCCATGTCACGTGAATCATTCATTCCAACACATTCACAACGTGTCCACTGGTCACTGCAACAATGTGAATAAGAATGCACAAAATGCAAGCGAATGTACATTGGCAGAAAAAACGAACCGCATGTGAGGACTTCGCCACACGCATCTTTGCGGGTGTTCATTTCCTCTCATATCTTCGAGGTAGAAATCACACCGTTTAAGAAAAGGTCAAGCGTGGTGCTATGTCCACATGATAACTCAGCACATGTGTCGTGCTCCATCTGCACTGTCCAATATCCAAAGTTGCACACCCATCCGGTACGCAACCCCGACTACAGGAAGGCACTCCTCTAAGAGGGCCATATGGGAATGAATGGAACCAACTTGCCACATCAAGAAGCTACAGTATCTGCATGAACAGGGAATCTTTTGTGGGAAAATGTTGGTTCCGTTCCCAGTGGTTCAGCAGGAGCAAACCAAGAACTCTCAGGCCTGCAATAGGCAACATCTTGTGACGACTGTCAGTTTGTAAGCGTTGCAGAAGAAAGGAAACCATCACAAAAATATTAAACAACTCGAAGCACTCATTCACACGTCTGTCAAAATCACAGATTAAAGGACACTTTGGTTCCTGCTTTTCGCTTACCAAATGGTCTCCTTTCATTTGCTGCCAACTTCGTGTAGTGCCCACGGCGCACTGTTTTTCGCTGGTTCAGTCAGGCGCGCTCAACCTGAACCTCGGGATGGAAACACCTCACAGAGCGAAAATGACCGTCTGAATCAGGTTGAAGCCGGCCGGGTTCATGCTGAAGCCCGCCCTGGCTACATCTGCTCAACATTCTTCGTGCACCCCTTACATCTTTGGGTTTGAAAATGGGGACCCGGGGGCCTGCAGGTGTGGTCTTATGCGTCCACCTGCCACCAGCGCTGGCAATGGTGAGCGCTGGCCATGCCCTACTTCGTTCTGCGCGCGTGTTTTCCTGCGCTATGAAGAAATTTGATTGTGTTGTGGCAGCGAGAGCCCTCCGGAAAGGTGGCATAGCGTATCATCGTGGCTCGAATGCCCTGTCCGAAGGCCAGGCTCGAGATGGCCAAAGCGGCAAGGAGCGCCCACAAATTGGCGCGCCGGCCTCAGAACTGGCAACTTTCCAATACAAGTGTAGTATTGGAGGGCGGTGTCGCCTAACTGACAACTTTCTAGTACATGTGGAGCTCGGGCTCAGAAGAGCTGCTGGATGTCCGGTCTCATTGCCTCCCAAGTTGGCCCAAAGGTCATCACTTGCAGGAGACCTGAGGCTCGGTGCACTGCTGGACGTGTAGAAGTTAAGGGTTTCTTGAATTTCACCAGGCTTTGCAGCCTTGCACGCCAGCTTTGAAGATGTTGGAGGCGGAAGGTGCTTCTGCTCCCGAGAACCTTCATAGCACAGCTTCTGCTGAAGATCAGGTGCCTAAGTATCTGGATGAAGCCAAAGCTTCACTGGTAGCCATTTGAGCTTTGTGGGGCTGCTCCTTTCGCGAAGTGACCCGGAGGCGTGGTCATCAGCACTTGTTTCAAGGAGCGGCGGCATCTTCTGAGTGGGTGGTGAGAGGCCAGCTGCAGGCTTTGCCCGTTGCTTGCCACATTTCGACACGTGTAGCCTTGCGAATTTTTCTTGCCAAATCCAATTGAGGAGGAAGCCTGGTAGGAACGACGCCATCCTCACGAAGTCATGAACCCGTTCGCAAACAAGATCTGGCCCAAGACCAGGTGGATCAAAATCAAAAGGGATCACGGAAAAAGTGTCTGGGTAGGTGGAGATGTCCAGGCTGGACAGAATCAAGGCAAGGAAGAAAAGGTCAAAGACCAAAAGCCCGTTGGAGCGAAGAGGTCAAGGACGAAGGGCTCGAGGTCCATGTAGAATCACGGGCAAAGAGTGTCCCGTAGATGAAAAAGTCCGATCCTGGTGGAAGACCGTGGTGCTGCAAGAGTAGTGCGTTGGGCTTTCCCTACAAGCCAGACTTCGTGGGCTGCTGAGCACTGAAATCTTGAGCTTGGCCATGCCCTACGTGTGTGTGTGTGTGTGTGTGAAGCCATTGGAATCGCAGGGAATCAGTTGGTTTTTTGCAGGGGGATGGAGAGGACGTATGAGGCTCCATCCAACGAAGCTCCCCATACGATCCTAGGATATCATCAGGGACGCCTGATGACGTACCTGCTTTGTGATGACTTCTCATTCACCACTGGGCCCGAGTTTAACTACAACAAGCTTGCCAGCCTTTGCATCGGTTATGCGCTCGGCAGTCATGCATTTGTCGCTTTCGTTGAGATGCTCAACAGTGGAGTTGGAGGCCTTTGAGGTTTCGAAGATATTTAGACCACCTTACTTACACCTGTCCTGGTTCCTTTGGTTTTTTACTTAGGCTGGTCTGTGGCAAACCGCAATCGTGTCAGTACGCATTATCTCGAGAGTGTGTGTATATATATATATATTATATATGTGTGTGGTTCTATATTTATACAATATCCACTGACTATGCCAGATGACAAAATCTGTTGTCTAGACTAGGGACATGTTTGACGGGCATCGATTATGCAGGTTTCATGCAGGTGTCCTATCCCACGGCCTACGGCCAACCTGTGACTATTTTGACAATTTTGGTCTTGGTAGATTGTCGGACGCTGACATGCACAGGGCCAGGATAACAACTGATGGTATATCAAGTTGTGGTAGCTGATTGCAGTTTGCCCATCCATATACATAGTCATGTAATGTCATGTATATATATATATATGTGTTTTAATGTATTTACAGTTTTCATCTAGGGATGTCTGCAGAGTGTCTCTGTGCTTTCCTGAGAACCATCTGTGAGTCGGAGATTCAGGTTCTGCATGTTGGCAGGCGCAGCCCAACAGAGCCTCACGTGGAACTCAGAGCCTCACACGGTAGGCACTGCACTGTCTCACCTGCAGCGAAGAGCGGAAACTCTCTTTGAGACTTCACGAGAACTACGATTCAGTGGACTCCCGAAGAGCTTGCCTCTGCGTCTGTCACAGTTTCGCTTGGTCTGGTTCAAAACACGTTTATACTACTGTCTAATGACTTAGGCCAACGTGATGCAAGTGACATACCAATCTGGCTACCCCCACGCCTAAGTCATGTGCCCTGACATATCGAGCAAAAAAAATGTCTGGGTTGGGAAACCTGGTGTCATAGGACCTGTGGATACCTCCTCGACAAAAAATGTAAAAAGACAGCTAAATAATGCTAGATACCACTGCCTGGCACCCTGGTGACACAGTGGTGACATAGGGTGCGACTATGTGTTGCTTCCTTGAATACCTCATACGTATTTCTATGAATATCATGGTTGTGGCCTGATGACATAGGCCTTAAGAGGAAATGCCAATGTTGGATCAATCCTGATGACATAGGCTTTTGGAATTGGCGTGTATGTCCGACAAGTCCTAAGTTACTAGTCAGTAGTATAGATATACTGTAGGCCCTGGTCTCCACGTCAAATAGCGAACTTTGTGGTGAGGTATTTTGCTATTCTTTTCCATTTGATGCAAGTGTTTTGCGTGCTTTTGTCAATGAGTCAATACCCAATGCCACCACTCCATGTTGATGTTGATGAATGATGTCTTTCCTTGGATCAGGACTGAAGACAAACTGCTTCCGTGGATGAAAAAAAATTGGTGTTCAGTGTCACTACACCACAGACTCAGGTGTTGGAAAATGGTCGTCGGGCAGTTACTGTATCTCTCTCCATCCTTTCTTGGTGTGGATGAAGATCATTTCCATGTTCAGTTCTATGTTGAAGAGTCCTCCGTCGACTTGAGCTCTTGCCAGTATGTCCAGCAGCAGCAGCTGCAGCATTGGCGGCGGCAGCAGCAGCAGCAGATGATGTCAGTGTCAATTGATTTGTTGAGAATCTACTGGAAACTCAATGTGTTCACCTCCAAATGGGCTTCCGGTTGGCCGGTTGGTTTTCCCTTAGGTAATCAACTCTGAGATGATGACGATGAATGTACTTAAAACAAAAAAAAATCAAGCAGCGGCAGCAGCGGAAGAAGAGGAGGAAAAACAGAAGGTGCTCGCTGAATTGAAGCTATGTTCTCCCTTTGTGGCTGTGCTAGTCGATGTTTTCTGATACTAGTATTGCTAGTGGCTGCAACTGCGTGGTTGGACTGTTTAGGTGGTGTTTGTTTTGTGGATATGTAACAGTCCAACCACTTAGCCTCTCCCCCGTGTCTAACTGAGTTCCAAAGTGTGCACCTTGCTCGCACCGAGCCTTGGCACGGCGTTTGGAATGGACAGCTTTCGGAGGTGTTGGGGATGTTTTTCGGCAAGCCGAGGGTAGGTTTGTCACAAAGGGACTTCAGGCAGTCATAGGGCGTCATATACATAAATAGTATATACAGGTATACATATATATATATATATTGTGTTGTTGTATGTACCACTCCTCTTAGCAAAATCGATAGATCCATACCTTCAATGACTCTGTTCTCCCGAGACAGTTGGCCTGTGTATCTGGGAAAAATAGCTGACTGCAAATATGTTTCGCAAGTTGCTGGTTTGGGGTTAGGCCCAGCCTGGAAAGGAACTCCAATCTGTCAGGCACTTTGCATTCGCTGTGCGGACCAATCCAAAGTAAGAAAGCAACACACAATCTGCTTAGCAACAGCACAAACAAAAAGGACACCCACAGTAGTTCGTACGATGTCTGCTACGAAGGGGTGAGGGGGGGTCTCTATTGAAAAAATCCATTCCAAGGGGGGAGGGGGGGGTTGAATACCCGGAGGAGCCCACACTTGCTTCGCAAGACAAACTCAGGTATCCCCCTCAGGGCTACCTTTCGTGACAAGTCTTTTTCAACATTTTGTTCCTTCTGACTTGAGGCGTGAACTTCAGCACAAAAATCAACGGCTCACCGAACAACACCACGCTTCTCACCGAGGCTCAGCTCCTTTCGTTGCTGCCGCTCGAATTGGACTTCCCTCGGTGTAATTCATTGCATGACGGTTGGACTGTTAAAGATGTCATACTTTGGGAGAAAAGGAAGTTAACTGTTAAGCTCAATCTTAAGGATCCAGACGTCACCGCCGCCAGAAATAGGGGCACACAGACGTTCCCCAGCGAGACAAAAAAAACAACAGGTTTACCTATCGAAGCAAGGTGATGGAACTGAAAGGAATCCGGCATAAATTACCTAGGACCTAGGAAGACTGGCCCTGCAACTCACCAACAAATGTGTGCCCGGAAGATTTTCAGTAGATTTCAGTAGACTGATCGCGTATATGTATATATATATATGTATATATTCATGTATAATAGGTGCAATGTACTTATATGTATATATATAATGTACATGCTTGTACCTCATTATGCCCATTGTCAGTTTTCATCACGAAGTGGAGTGAAACCGTCAGCTGAAAAGATTGCTCTCTGATAGCAGCTACCTGTCTGATCGCTGGACTCAGGTCCCTTTTCAACAAAAGGGTCCCATTGCCCATCGCTTGCTACACCGGAAATCGTATATACATATATACAAAGTATCATGGTAGTTTGAACTGGCCATATTAAATGTTGCGCTATGCTTGATGGTACCGAGGTGAGCTCACAGCCGTACACCATACACAGCCTGCAAGACATCTCCCGACTCCGACAGAGGCGGCCCAAAGACGCCATCGCCCTGTAGCAACCAATCATCTTCTCAAAGCGCACGGGATCTTTCTCTATACCTATGGCAGACGCAAGAAGGATCAACAGAGAACCTGAAGGTATCAAGCCTTGGGCCGTTGGGCCCTTGACGACTTCACCCGAGGCCATCGTGAACTTGGATTCCATGTCCACTCTCCCGGCTGATCTTTGGATTCGATCAAATAATCTGGTATCATCACCCTGTGCAGCTTTGTTGTTTCATAATGTTGCATGTGTTCTTCAAGCTGGTGTTGAACAATTGGCCAAGAATCCCGCCAGGGGACGGGCAGCTGCAGAACGCAACTTTTTACTGAAGGTTCGAGCACTCACGATTTCCTTTCCTCACCAGCGGATTATATTGTACAGTCAATGTCAAAACAGAATGACAAATCAAGAATGAGATCTGCATCGTGCCCAGAGATGTACACATTCACAAAATCATGGTGAATGGTGAGCTCATGGTCTTGGGGAGGAGAAACTCTGCAAATGCGTTGCGGACCAAGATCCATGGCAATCTATCACTATGTGTATATATAAATATATATATATAAAACCCTGCAAAACGATGCCTACAGTGTCCATGTGCCAAACGCTGGAAAACGATACGGGACGTTTCTTTGAAATAATACGCGGTATCCCATATCGTTGTCCAAGGCAAACTCAATCCACTGTCTTGGCTGAAACACCCTTGTATAAAGAATGTTGAAAACGACGCATAATGTGTGTATATATATATGTATACATAGATGAATCCATAAAGGATATCAGTAGAATCTGTCAAAGGGCACGGGTTTGCACCGGCTCCACATCCAGTTCTCCTTTCTTCCCCCACACCAGCCTAGCAAAAATGCGTCTAGCGCTTCCTCATGGTCGTAGGCCTGCACTCAAAAGCATAGCTGGCGTAGCTCAAACACCCTTTGAAGATTGTTTTACTACATCAGCATAGGACCCAGAGATCACAACCACAGAATTCATGACTCCATAGACCAAAAAACGGAGCCAGCTGAGCCTTGACCCCACCTCCTTTTCAAGCTCTATCTGAAGCCCTTGACCGCACATGTTAGACCTGTCACCCAACACTGTTGCAAGTTGTCCCATGTTGTCTTGTTATGGCTCTCTGAGAGTTTGTGTGCCACGACGTGTTCGGTAGGAACTGATTTCAGGAGTTAGAAAGAGTTAACTTCAGAGGTCATTTTTTTCCATCAATCCTTGGTCCAACACAGGGTGCTAAAAAGAATTACATCAAGAGTTAGTTACTGTAATTCCGTTCAATCTTGTTGGCTCACATGCGTAATCAGGAGTTGACTCTTTTTGACTCTGGAAAGTACTCCTTTTCTGTTCCTCATCAGGCAAACGTGTGCTCTCAATGGACTATGAGTGATTCCAACTTGCCTGAGGCGGGGAAAGGAACTGCTTGGAGTCTTGGAGCCCAAATATTGGAGCAAGATGGGTACTTGTTCCTAGTAGCTTCTTGTTACTACTAGTAAGGCACTTGTTACTACTAGCGAAGCACTTGTTCCTAGTAGCTTCTTTCCCTGTCTTACTGCATGTCCACACCCTTTTTGAGGTCTAGATCCTTGTATGGTCACAGATCACGCTTGGCTTCCCTCCCGGCCCGCGTGTGGATTTCCCACCCCGAGGGAGGCACAAACCTAAAAATTGCGTAGGCACCTACCGCAGAAGACCAGCAGGCCCTTACGCAAGTTCGGCTTGAAGTTTGGACCGGTTCATCTGATATACAGCATATGTGTTTTTTCCCCCGAACCACACAAGAAGATGTTGACTTAGCCGCTCAGTCAGAGATCATCCGGATAGCATATGACAGGCATATGCTTGGCAGCTGAGCAGAACGGCTGCAGAAAGAGGTGCGAATGCGGTGTTCATAGATGGATGTTTTGGAACATCCTGGAATTGGGAGGAGTGGATTTACTCGTCAAAAGTCAATGCAATGATATTATGATACAAACATGTGTGTATATAACCTGGTTGAGATACGCATGAACAGCACTCGCCCTTGATCATCTTGATCTGCCCCCTTGGACCCGCCCCGCCACATTAGCCAAAGCTTGGCTCTTCTCTGCGATGCCTGAGCCACGGCAACTTCGCTTGGGTGGTTCTAACTTCAGCGGCTGGTGGCCATACCAGGCTGCCACAGGTCAAGTAGGCCCCTCCAAAACACACACAAACCCATACGTCAAATCAAAACCCTCAATGCGTGCGGTGCTTAGCCCAAGTTGTCGTGCAGGATAGTCTAAATGATGCCATGTTGAACCCATGTTGTGCAGAATAGACTAAATGCGGGCTATCTAGCAGGCACCTAAAGACTATTGTAAGATAGTAAGGTTGACGAGTGAGATCATAAACAACAAGTTTTGTCACTCCAGGGTTTCTAGTTGGGTAAATCGGAAAAAAAATGGGGACACCCTTCCCGGTCAAATTCTTGTCAAAAATACTGGAAGCACAAGCTGCATGGGAGTTGAACAGAGCTCTGAAGCTCTGAAAACTAAGAGCAAGTAGCGATGCACTTGCTACTAGTACTTACTAGTAGTAATGCCCTTGTTACTAGTAGCGATGCACTTGCTAC